ATCTCATGGAGGAAAATTATGCGGAAATCAGACAGACCATATTTGATTTTTCTTTAGCGGAACTTTTGAATAAAACCCATAAAAACGTTGATGATCAACAATCAAAAGATTATAGAATCGGATCATATCTAGTACATCAACAGATGGCAAAAATAATAATTAGATCTCTTCGAGGAGATGACGCGTTCGAGTTTAGCAATAAAGTGGTGGAAATATTGGGTCATCCTGAATATGAAGTGAGGCTTGTCGCTCTGGAATTACTCACTGAATATTTTCTAGACAACTCTGTTCCGGATACTGATCTCAGGTTTTTATTTTTATTTTAAGTTTATCGATAGAAAATAAGTTATTGCTCCTATAATCATAATCATAAATGAAATTTCAAAGATGTTGTTTCTAACAAATTCTCTATGAATAATGTTAGCAGAAATTATTCAACTATCCAGTCAAAACTGATTTCCATGATAGATGACGGGGAACCAAATCTCAATTGTTTCCGTCTGGTAGTGGAATTGCTTGTATTAATAAATCCGAAGGGTCTGTCCTTCCCTTTAGATTCTGGACTGCGAAATTTCTGGAAAAAACTTTTCGAACATGTAGAACAACCCAAAAACGTGTCAATAGTTGAAGCCGTATTTCCATTATTGGGTTCTTTGTTATCACAAGTATGATTTGTCATTTTGTTTTATAAAAAATTCTAGAAAAATAATTTTTAACATGAAGAGTATCTATCTGATGTGATCGTAGATCTGGGATGATAAATCTTCCAGTCAAGAGTTCAAATCTCTGTGTTTAAAACAATGGACTGAACACGTGGAAAGAAATACCAAGCCTGAAATTGTACGTATTTTATCGATGCATAAGTATATTTTTCTTAACTATATTTGCATTTATATTAATTGTTTCGCTGGTATAGGCTCTCACATTGCGTGAAGCAACAACAAAATCTTTACAAATGTTTAGTCGTCATCTATTTAGAGAAGATCGATTTGTAAACAGTAATGATGTCCAGCAGGTTATCACCTTGTACATGATTCTTGCACGCCTTGCTCAGGTATCTTTTTTTTTTTTCAAAAAAATCACCCATCGTTTTTATTTGATTTGTTGAAATAATGTACTGGTTTTCTGAATTTAGGATGACGATGTTGACCTACGTAAAGCTGCCTCATTGATTGTGGCAAAAGCAGGCAGATTTAAGGTTTGCCTCAGATGGTTTAAGTTTTCTAAGGAGTAAAAGACTAAAGGGCTCTTTACTATAAAACTTTAGTTTCCCGTGGATCCCGATCGTGCACGTGAGCTCTGTTACGAGCAAGTGTCAAATCAATTTTCCAAGTCGCTACACTTGTATGCAGCCTTACTTCAGATACTTTCCGGAGATGAAAAGCCAGGTAAATATTTTTAAAGTGTTCACGCATATAATTGATTTTAAATTCAATCGATTATTTTATTGCACGCACAACAAAGATGAGGTTTTCCGAGCCGAAATGAATCGATCACGTGTCCTATTCGCAATCGAAAATCCAAACATCTTTAAGGAAGATCTAGTGGATGTTCAGTTAGCTTCTAGAATCTCAATAGAAGCATTGAAAAAGGAAATTAAAATTGTGCAATTTCCCGATCCTTTGAGAAATGATATTCCGCGTTTTGCCGTCGAACAATTGCGCAGAGTTTGC